GCAGCGCGGCCCCGGACTGGGCCCTACCTGCCGGCTGGCGCTGCTCCGCCGCCCCCAGCGCCCCGGGCCCGGCTCCGCCTCCCGCCGCCGCGCAGCCCCGACCCGGCGGGGCCCAGGGTGACGGCGGCTCCGCCCGCGGGGCGCCCCCGGCCGCAGCCCCAAGCGGCCACAGGAACCGCCGCGCTCCCGCCAGCGCCCGCCACATGCCGGCCCGCGCCCCGCCCCTACCGGCACGGCGCTTCGCCATTGGCCGGGGCCGCCCCCTCTCCTGATTGGTGCAGCCGGCTGCCGGTCGGCTGCGGCGCGCGCGCGGCGCCGGCCCCTGGGCGGTGCTGGGAGGCCCCGCTGGGCCCGCGGCTCCTCCGCCCGGCCAGCCGCTGGCTCCGGAGACGGGCGGTGGGGCGGGCTCGCACAGGGTCACAGAGCCATAGAAAGGCTTGCGTTGGAAAGGACCTTAAAGGTCGTCCAGTTCCAACTTGCCTGCTGTAGGCAAGGACACCTTGGTGGCTCAGAGCATCATCCAACCCGGCCTTGAGCACTTCCCAGGGATGAGGCATCCGCAACTTCTCTGAGCAACCCGTTCCAGTGCCTCACCACCTACACAGAAATTTTTCCTGATATCTAGACCTACTATTGTTCAATTTGAAGCCATTCCCGCCCGTTCTGTTGCTCCTCAGCCTTGTGGTCTCCCTTGTCCTCCCAGCCGGGTGCAGCTGACCTGTTGGGTTTCCAGCTGCGTCTGGCCTGTGGCATTGTGGAGCCAGAACACAGCTGCAGGTTAACCTGGGGATACGTCCTGAGGGTGCTGATTGGTACCACGGCTTGGGAACGTGGGCCAGAGGGCAGTGGAAGAAGTGCCAGTTTTAAAGATGGTTTGACATGTCTGGATTTGAGAGGAAAGATCATTCCTGCTCTGTAAACACCACTCTGCTGAGTTGTTGGGCAGCTGGAAAGGGCAGGTACAGTACATGGGCACTTCCATATACGCCTAAACCACGTATGCAAGCTCAAGCCTTTTGCCCCCTTTTATAGGCTACAGTTTTGCCTAAAAAACTGCGCCTTGTTTGAAACTAACATGATTTTCCTGTGGAATGTGTTTTCTGTTTGTGTAATTCCTGCATGGTGTTAATGGGCACAGGCTGGTAGTCTTGCAATGCTTGGTTTGCTATGGAGAAAGTTGTCAAGGGGCTGAGAAATTATGGACTTTAAGCATTTGTATTTAATGTGGGTGAAACATATCCCTCCACCTCCTTCCCCTGGAAATCCTGGAGTTTAAAGGGACACTAAAATAAGAGAATTGCCATTCAGAATGTTTTTCCCACTCTCACCAAGTATGATGGTCAAATATTAAGGTTTAAAAGACATAGTCATGGATGGTGCCAGACTCCTTCTGGTGGTGCCCAGCAAGAGGGCAAGGAGCAGTGGCCATAAAATAAAAGTTTCAAGAAGTTTCAGCTAAACATGAGGAAGAACTTCTTTACATTGAGGGTGGCAGAGCCTTGGAACAGGGTGGGCAGGGAGGTTGTGGAGTCTCCCTCTCTGGACACACTCCCGTGTCATTTGCTGTAGGTCACCCTGCCTTGGCTGGACTAGATGATCTCCAGAGGTCCCTTCCAATCTGACAATTCTGGGATTGTGGAATTCTGTGTGAATTATAAAGACCTGTAGTGATAAAAGCTTTATCATTAAAGAAAATTTGACTATGCTGCATGAAGCTGGAAGTTATTGTACTAATAAGGCACAGTGGCTGGATGGCTCTTGCAAAGTTTTCTTCATTCCTCTACAATTCCTTCAGAGACTGGTGTTTTTTAGTGTTGGTTTCATCTTAAGAATACTTTTGGTAAGAAAAAAATGCCACAAGTGATGAGCCTTAATTGTGTGCCATAAAAAATATTCAAGAAAAAAAGGAGGGGAGGAACAAAATAAGTGGTTTGAAATAACAGCTCAATTTTTAAAGTCATTCTTAACAAACTTGCTACCCAACTGATGTTTCTGTTTCTCTTGAAGACATGTTTGAAAGGATGTTCTTTCTATGAAGACAATGTACATTTATCTTTGATGTCATTCTTGATGTTATTTCTCCAAAGGGAATGCCTGAAACCTGTCTTGTAACATTTGCTGACATTCATAAATCTGTTGTTTGTCAGCTGTTCTTGCCTTTGAAGGACATGAAGCTCATTTGTATCCTGATCTGTTCTGAAATTGTGTCATCTGGGTGTTAAAGTCTCCTTGCTTCTCAGGTTTGTGGGGCCATTTCTCTAAGTACACTTGAAGGGAGACTGCAAAATCAGCTTGATAACCCATGGTAGAGCCAGGTGTGGGCTGAGGGTAAGGCAGATCCTGTGTTTTATGGAGGTAGACACTCTTTTGATCAATAATTGGGCAACTCTGATGAGTTGCTTATCTTGCAGTTTGTCGTTCTGAGACAAAGCAGCGAACTCTTTAAAATCATTACATGGTTTATTTGTCAGTGCAGCAGTTAAATTCCATTGTATAAAAGTAAAGATGTAAGAAATAGAAGTTACAGCTGAAAAGGCAAAATGGTAATATAAAAATGTAGTATTCTGACATGGCACTTAAAGGGAGACAGTGCAAGATATTCCTAATACTTACGTTAAAGTATAAAAAAGTTCTTAACAAATGCCTGAAAGCAGTTTTCTATGCAAAAGCTTAACATGTCTTAAGATGTCCTCTAAGATGCAGCATTTTGCAGAAACAAGAAGTTTTCTGCATGTAGCCCAGGTGGTAGCCTGCATCTTCACTGATCCTGAGCTGTGACAGATTTTATGTTTTCATGCTTCATTACAGGTCATCTTAAGCTTTCCACTAAACCCCTGTCCTGCCTCAAGCTAGAGCAACAAATACAAATTACAGTCCTGCCTGACTAATAACAGAGCACACACCTAAACAGTAATTTTTTGCAGAAAATGTGTTTCCTGTTTAAGTCAGAAAATAATTTGAGATGCTAGTTCTTAGACAATAGGGTGTTACATATGAGGAAGATGGAACAATAGCAAATACACTGCTTTTAATAATATAACTGAAATAGCCACAAAAGAATTAAAATAATGGGAGAACCTGGAAACAAAAGAAGAAAAGGGGCTGTTGAATTTTAGAGCTAAAGAATTAATCTCACAGGTATGTTGGAATCCGCATTTTTTTAAAATATCCTTAAGTCATTGAAAAGTGTCTGTGCACCCTGGGAAAGGGCAGTGAAGACTAGATTCAGATTACAAATGATAAGCATTTTGAAGATCTGCTAAAACACTAGGAAAGTTTATAATTATGGTTTTTTTTATAATTATGTTTATAATTATATTTATAATTATGTATTGCCACAGGAACAGAAAACAGTATGTATCAGAAATATTTCAAGAGATGTTAAATAAGCTAATTATATTGAATACAGATCTTCAAAGAATTCAGTGTTTAGAAATGGATTATGTAAGGTCATTTGCCCAGCCTCCATTTTGGCTATAACCTTTGCTAACAACAAAGGAGGTTTTTGAAACATGAGCTATAAAGAATTTTTGGTCTGTTTGCTCATCTCCATGAACCTTTTTAGCAACCTCTTCCCTTTCTGCAAATAAGATGCTCTCCTTTTCTCATCATGCAGTGAGCCAGCCTTCAGCAGTTTGTGAAATGCCATGATGCTGAGTGATGAGCATGTGTGGCTGTGAGGCCAGATCACTTGTGGAAGGCCTCAGAACGAGTTCTTTTAACAGAATTGCAGCTAGAGTAAATAAGTGAAGGCACGCATTGATTTTGCGTGAATTTACATTTTCTAAGGTGCATCATGTAAAAGCAGAAACTGGAGCAGAGTGTTTTAGTTATCTTGGGGTTTTCATTTATTTGATTTAGTGGTCAGAGGGATGGAGGAGCAAGCAGAAATTAATGTCTCTTTACAGCGGGAAAGACAGAAAGGAAAAGAGAAGAGGAAAAGGCAGTTGAATGCTGCTACTTTGTGCTAGATCCCTTCTTCTGCTGACCCTTCATTGGCCATAGATCATATCTGCCCCCTTGGGAGCAGTGGTGCCAGTCCAGTGTCTCAAGACCAGTGGAAGCAAAGGAGGCAAAGGAAACATCAGCAGTTGCAACTCAGAATTTTACATGGAACTCAAAGTTTGAACAGAGAGAGCCAAGCCAACGGCCTCTTCTTGTTCCCTGGCTGTCTGTGGTCTAGTTTATAGCGAGGCTCATGCACTGGTAGCCATGTCCAGTGGGAAGCTAAGTGTGTCCAGCCCTGTTTTCTGGCCCTGAGGCCAGCTGGCATTTAATGAGCTGCACCCATGCTATTGAACCCTGGAAAACAGGGTGGCTGCTGCCAAGCTCACAGTGGGAGCTGTGCCTCTGGTGGTTCCCAGAATCTGGGGTTTGCTTGGTGGGGAGCTGGCTGGCCTGGGGCCAGTCTGTGCTAGGACCTCCTGAGCAGTGCAACAGTGGCAGCAGCTCAGTGCCAAAGCCTGGGAAATGCCTGGGAATAGGCCATGGCACGTTTCATTCCACAGACATAACACGTGCCTGCCCCCCATGTCTCTCTTTACAGCAAAGACATGAATCCTGCTAAGGCTCTGAGCAGCAATAAAAGCTAAGTGTTTACAAGTTCGTTGGTTGGTGGGGGTTTTTGTCTTTTTTTTTTTTTTAATTAACCTCTTCTCCCTCCCCCCCTTCCAGATTATGGATGTGATTAATTTTGCACGTTGTTAACCTAGAAATAAGAAAAGCCAGATAAGTGTGTGGGGGTGGGGGGTATTAGTAATTCAGAAGAGTGTATCCTACATCACAAGCAAGAACAGCAAGTGCTTAAAACTACTTCGTTTTTCTACAAAAAACTACTTTAATGTTGCTAATTGCACCAAGCCCCAAAAGTTACCAGCCTGTCTACATGTGCTTTCACCTTACTCCCTGGGGTTTTTTTACAACAAGAAGAAAACCCCATTAAAGTACAGTTCAGATACAAGGGCTGTACTTAATCTAATAGTCAGTGTTACACTAAAGGTTTAAACAATGCCGGGTTTACTCTTCAGCAGAGGATTTCTCTCAGTGCTATTAGGGAAGAAAATGGCTTTGAAAGTGCTGAAGTAAGCAGTAAATCCCTCCTGCTTCTGTGTTTGTTCTGCACTCCTCTCAATAGGCTTGTATTGCTTGTATCTCCTGCAAGGAATGTGAACAGTTAGTTGCTGGAAGACTTCTAAAGGAGGGTGCACATTTAGCATGTGACCAGTGCATGAAAGCACTGATCGTGTGCTCATCACGCATTCCCTCTCCTCCTCCCCTGTTCAATTGCATCCAATGTCTGGCAGCCATAGGTCAGTAGTGGTGACAGGGCCTGGTTAGGCAGAAAGGAGAGCTGGAGAACTGCTGCTCCATGGAAGTGTGTGTTTCTCACCACTCACTGGGAAGGGTGAGCACACACTTGACTCAGGAGTCTTCTGGCAGTCTCAAAAGAGAAACTTCCAAAGTCTCATGAGAAACTTCCTAACTAATAATGCAGCAACATGTTCTTCTCTTAACTACTGGCCTGCATGCTCAGCACCTTTTCCCCCAAAGAATTTATTAATCAATTATTTAATGAAGAATTTGTTTGGTTTCACTGCATATATAAATCACATCATGCAGTTTGAGTTTGCTTTCTGCTTAGATGAAGTTCCCAGGCCTGCTAGTATTACTGTTTGTGCTAATGGGCACAGAATGTGCCCATTTTTTTTTCTGAAAGTCCTTAACATCTGCATAATTGCCAATGGTTTTGTGGCCTAAACCAGTAATCTTGTTTTCTTGAATATTTGCCAGAATAATTGTGAGCTGCAATAGTAAGTAAACAAAAATGTAGCTAAAGCAAATTTAAATTGTTCAGTTAGTTAATTTAAATAATATTTTGACAGTTCTTTGAACTGTTTTTAATCACAGAAACTAGCAACTTACTTGTAAAGGACAAATGCCCCAATGGTAGCAAACACTGCCAACAAGCCAAGGAAGATGAAGACACCTTCTGTTGTTCCAGATGATGCTCCTATAGTTCAGAAAGTAGATTGATTAAAAGTTAGCCTCTATTTTACAGTGAGATAGACTTTCCAAAGAAGATGCCATTTTTACTTATTGCTGTATGAATTGAAGCACAGTTAGTAATTCTAAAGTGCTAAGCATTGGAGGTCAGTGACTGGCAGGAGGTGGTGCTTTCACATCCTAATCCGTGTAATTCTTCATTCCACCAGAGTGTGAGTTGTGCTTTGCCAGTTTTCTCATATGAGCTCTGCTCCTCAGACACATTGGTACCCTTGCAGCATGGAGAGGAATGAAAGGCCCTGTTGGCACCCCACAAGGTGAAGCTAATTTGATCCTTGCCATTTGTTATGCTGGAGGAATGTTTACACTGACTATAGGATAACTTTGACAAAATTAGATAGACTCATCCAGAAGGTGACTTAAAGCAGCAACCTCTCTTAGATCCTAATTCTGCTTTGAATATGGCAGAAGCCCCAAAGTTTAAGTCAGCTTTGCCCTCTGGAGGAAACTTAGACAGACCAGTCTTACTGGGCTAAAGCTAGTGTCTGTGAATACAGTTGAGAAGAACCTTTCTGCATGCTTAGTTTCACCTTTAGGAACCAGAATGCACTCAGAGGTCAGGCATTGTGCCTTGTTCATAATGAACTGATTTCAGTACAGATAAACTTACACCTAGATTAAATCAAACCATCAAAAAATGCTATGGAAAATGACTGCAAAGGCTCAGTTGTTTGGATGATAGTAATTAGAGAGTTCAGAAGAGTCACTAGGACACTGTAATAGGAAGTCAGGAGGGCAATGAAGTGGGAGCAGAGAGGCAGCACTATCCTTTAGACTTCTGACTGAGGCTGAGTTTAATAGCTGGTTCTGTCAAGTCTGCTTTGATAGCTATGAGCTAGACACAGTGATACTTATCCAACCAAAGGTAAAGCTCCTTTTTGGAAATGGTTTGGAAACGGTTTGGAAACCTGGGCAGACTCTGTATTCACTGGATGTAACACAGATCATTCCAGAAGATAATTCATCTTATCCTCATGTACAAATAGAAACCATGTTGAGGCCCATGGCCAGTAAAGAGGTCCCAGGGCAGCCAACTGTGCTGCAGACTTTGATTTCTTGAGCTGAATTCCCCTCTATTTCTGCTATCTCTCCATGTGTGGAGTGGATTGGCTGGCATGTTCCCCACCTGCTTTTTTGCCCAACATTTTTCTGTGGAAAATTACATTATGACTTAAGAACTGTTCATATTCTGTGATACTGAATAGTTTGTGTAATTACTGTACTCATTGGACTGTAAACAGAAGTCAGACTAAGGTCTAACAGCTAAAATTCCCCCAGGGAAATAATCATCATTTTATCTTTGCATGGACTCTCAGACAAACTGGTGCAGTCTCAGCTGAGGCTTCCAGGCATAACAAGAACTTCTCTATGTATTCCTGTGTTCTCTCCCCCTGCAGGGAAATGACCACAGGGAGAAGCTTTTCACCAACAACCCACGTCTGCTCTTTGTGGACTCACCTCCATTTACAGAGATCAGGGCACTGGCAAGGGCTTGGCTTGTGTCATCACCCAGGGTGATGTTTATGCAGTAGGTCCCGGGTTCCTCAAAAGCTCTCCTGATGGTGAGTAAACACTCATCCGTGACGACGACGGGGTCACACACCATGCTCTTGGACACCTGGCACGTGGGGTCAGAAACCACAGTGCAGACATCTGTGGGGAGACTGGCATGGGAAGAGAGAGCTCATTGCACCTGTGGAGTCCTGCCAGCCCACTTAGCCCAGTTCACAGACACATTGCACTGGTGCACCAGGTTTATGCTGGTGCCTGTTGAAATCAGTGACACTGTAGTGATTTAAGTGTATTTTATTAATACTATATGTATTTTTTGCATACCTATACATTTATATATGTACATGTGGATTTTATATAGAATGCTGGTATACAATCTGTATAATTATCTGCTTTTTTTCTTATCATTTAACATTTTATGGTGATCACAGGATTAGCTGCATCAAATCAACTTATAAAGTCCCTGATGTTAAATACACTTAATACACATCTTAAAGAAAGGAATGCAAATTCTTTTCAGTAGTATCATATGCTGGAAAAGAAAATACTCCCTTAAGAGAGGTTAATTGTATTCCAGTTGTATTACCATGGTGTTTCTTGTACTTCTTAATCCACCTCTTAGTCCTTCTAAGACCTAGGAATTTTAGTCCAATGTTTTTGCATCCAAGAAGTTTCTTGGACTCACCCATTTACTCCAAAAGTCAAAAACTCATGGCCAAAAAGAAAGGGTTTCCTTACAATTTCAGTAAACTGCTTCCCGCTTTACTGTAAGTGCTGAAAACTTGTCTTGGCCAAGAGACTGTAAATTGTTTTTTTCCCCACAATCAGTTCCTTATTTTTACTGAGACTGGATTTTGCTCTGAATCCTAAGTCCCTGGCAGTAGCCTCTGTTGGCATAGTTTAAAAATGAGACTTGCATTATCTTTAGTTCTCATCAAGAAATAGAAACACTGCAGTTCCCAAATTTTGTTCATACATCTGCATCTAAGTGCATATAGCATTCCAGCACCTAATTAGTTTTAAACAGGGAAGACTGACAGCTTCATTCACACACTTACCTCCCTTGGCAGGTAACAACAAAGTCAACCAGTGAGTTTTCAGCTTGACTTTCTGTCATCTGGATGCTTGTCATCTGAATAATATTTACCTCGAGGATTCCCTCTGGGAGAGGAAACACACATCAACTGTAGGACACATGACAAGCTTTGAAGTCTATGTGTACTGAACCTCGAGTGTTTGGCTGATGCTCAGTTCAGGTCTTGTTTTTCATAACCTCCTCCCTCCCTTAGCACTCCTCTTGAAGGCTTTGAAAGCTGAGAAATTTTCCAGTGCTTTCCCTGTGAGGCTGCTCCTTTCTGGTCTCCCTTTTTCCCCCCTCATTATTGTTATTTACTTCCTTATTTTGCTAAATCACTTCCCAGTACATGAGACTTCTCTGCATTCAAAGGCCAGTTCAGCCTTAGGGAAACCTCCTCCCCAGCCCATGGGCTCCTGCTGTGGCATGTTCAGAAGCTGGTGACAGAGAAAGGAGTGACACAATGCACGTCCCCACCAGCACATGGGGTCAGCCATCAGCGGAGATCCAGACCAAGGTCCAGCCTCACGTGTCTGAAAGCAAGGGGTCACAGCCTCTGCAACTAGCCCCTGGCAGAGTGCAGGCAGAAACCAAAGTCAGCCAGTTACATGTCTGCATATTAATCCCTAAAACTCTCAGCTATGTCCATGAGAAGGATCTTTTTGTGGATCTCATGTAATTGATAAAAACGTGTCTAAATAAACATTATTTCTACCATGCATTGTTGTTCATTGTTAAGATCATTCCTCTCTTCAGGTGTTGACACACATCCTTACCCACAACAGCAATACTACTTCCATAGTATCCATTTCTGTAAATATGGCAGCCTCCATCAGGATTGTCCTCCACTGACTCCACAGTGGGAAGAGAGTCAGAATCAGAAGATGCTCCGGTTGTAGCTGTTCGAGGCAGAAGAGATAGAGATGCAACAGCTTTAGACCAAGCTCTGCTTTGGGGTGTTCTGCACACAGCCACATGTTCCAGCTGTTCCTGCATTCCATAGGTGTCAGTGGCTTTGGCTTGCAGCTGTGCAGTCATGTATGTATCTGTGTAATGAGCTCATGGCTAAAGAAAGCACATGTGCCCAGCTTTAGAACCCCAGAGTGGTCTGGGGAGCCTCACTCACTCCAAAAGCCACCTGGCTAGTCACCCATCACTGTGAAGTAAAAGGGAGACTACAAGGTGTAACACAATTAAATATTTCTTTAAAATCCCCAAATCAATTATATAAAAAATCCAAAGGCCAATAAAACATTTAAAATGCTTTTTTAAAAGCTGGTATTTTCCCACTGCTCTACATTACAGCTAGTGGAAAAATGAAGAGGGGAAGTGGTGAAAATTATATTTTTCCTTTCATTTTTCATTCTCACTCCATATTTTGGTAAGAGCACATATTAAAAATATGAAATTTGAAAAATATAGCCACATTTACCGTTTCACAGTAGTATTATTATGGCTGAAACTGCAGGCCTCTTAAAACCCTCTGAGATGATAAACCAATGGTGAACATAGTGAAAGTTATTCTGAAATATGTTAGTCAATAAATTTAAAGTGGAAAAGCTGTTCTGGGTTAATGCCATGTGGAAATCCCATATTTTTGAATATGACTAGGTTTTTCTAGTTCAATCCAATCTCATTTAATTTTGGATGGAAGTTAATGCAATCCAGGAAGGAGCTTGCTGTAAGAGTGTTCTGAAATTCCTTTTTCTCACTTGAAATTTACAGAAGATGACCCTGAGTAGACAAGGCTAGAATCTCCTGACCAAGTGTAGCAAAGATAATACAAACTTATTTATGTTCATCTGAAGACCTTTGTATGCTGTAAGTGTGGTGGTAGAACTGGATGCATAAGGAGTTAAATGTGTAAGTGATCCCTACCACAGAATCCTAGAAGAGTTAATGCTTATTGATTCTGTCTCTAAGCCAATTTTATAGAGGGTTTCCAGAGACTCACAGCTCTTTCATGATGACAGTAAAACTACTAAAGATATTAACTTCAAACATCAGAATATAAAGTTCTATCATAGCTCCTAATGCCAGTGCTGTTTGATAAGTGCTTACCTACTGAGGTGGGCGGTGGTGCAGTGGGTGTTACTGGCCTGCAAGGTACAGGTATAATGGCTTGGACAGTTAAATTCAGAGTGAAGTTTCCTTGCAGAGTGTAGGTGTGAGATGTACTAGAACCAGTGGCTACAAATAAGCCACTTCCATCTCCAAAGTTCCACTTGTAGGAGAGGGCAGAATTATTCAGATAGTAGCTGGGATCATGGATCTTCACATCAAATGTAATTGGTGAGTCTTTGATGAAAATGGAGTCTGAGATGTTGCGGTCATGTTTTTGGAACATACTCACAATTACTGGAATTTTGTCTGGAGGGGGGAAAAAAGAGGTAAATAAATAAAGCAGAAATACCTGGCCGCAAACAATAAACAGTTCCAAAGCCCCTGAACAGCAACAGCCAGAATGTGGGATGCAAACATGGTATCTTTAACACAGGTGTGTACTTTAATTTGATTTATGACCTAAAGAATGAATGTCAGTAGGAAACAGCCAGAAAAATATGGGAACAAGTGAGGAATCACAGACATCTGTGGAAGATTGCATTATCTCTTGTAAATCGTTTTCCATTGAAAAGTGGAGGGGTCACTACTGAGCTAGGCAAAAAGGTTACTTAAGCTACTCAAGGCAATTTACCAGAGATTCCACTTTCTTGCTAAAAACCTTTCTCAGGCCAATGTCTTCTTTCCATGCCAGATGATGCTTGTGCTGAATTTTTTAACAGCTAAGCAAAGAGCACCCTCAGCATATGACCACAGCCAGTTCCAGCACACTCACCTGTCACTGAGTAGGTGGTTTTTGCTCTTGCAACCGGAACAAATCCCGAGTGCCCTCTCCTGTAAATGGACACTGCCATCCCATGTTCACCAAGGGTGATATTTGCTGTGTTCACTGAAAACTTCGCTGAAGATCGTCCCGTTGTTTGGTAATACTGACCTGAAACAGAACGTGAACTTAACATTTTTCCCCTCAGCCTCACCACAAGTTGGTTTATGAGAGGCAAAGTCTCTGAGAATCTTAGATTGTCAAAATCAAAATTAATAGTCTAGAAATGTCTTCCAATAATCTGACAGGTGATTTCGAAGGACCGGATACTTTTACAGGGTGTTTACTCACGTAAAGTCTGGTTTTTCAGAGCTGTCAAAAAGATGTCCCCAGTTTTACTAATCCAGGAAAAAATTGCCACAACATCTACATCTTTCCAAAGCAGTTACATTACATTAAGTAATTAGGATTATGTAGTGGGTGGTATGAGGCATTTTAAGTGATTTTGTGTTTGCTTTCAGTGAAGCCAGAAGATACAATACCTCTTGCTTCATACTCTAGAACCATTTTTATATATTCAATTATTTGTCTTTTTAACAGCTGACTGAGGTTCATAAATAATATCACTTCTGCATAAAATTTGGAATATTATTATTATTACTATTACTCATACTCATACTGACAATAGTACTGATTTAGCCAGGAGAACTGAAGGCACTAAGATTTAGTATGCAGTCAATGGCAGGAATAGCCCAACCATTACACACTCAGGAGCAGGAAACATTGAAAATCAGCATCTGTGACCAGAGCAGCAGAACAGCCAGTGGCAGTTCTCGCCTCCCTAGGGACAAGAAGTGCTGCACTGTTAAACTGGTGATACACAGCACTGTGTTCTCTCTTAAATCTAAAAGTCTTAAGTGGCAGTGAGCTGTCAATAAATTGTCTGACTGACCTGCTCAGACTCTCTGTTTTCCTAGAAAAAGATCTTGAGTAGTACTGAAAAGAAATTAATTTTCTTCAGTGGTAGTATTGTGAATGCAGATTTAAAGAGAAATTCTGGTAATCCACAATTTCTAAACCAGACAACTGATGGCCTCTCTGGAAAAGTGGGGAATTAATTCAGTATTTCCACTCAAGAGTGTGGAATCATTTTAAAAGCGCTTTTAGTAAAACATGCTTGACAAATGAGTTGTGTACAAAGGGAATATAAGGTTTGCAGCATCACCCCAGCCAAGGCATGTGTTGCAGTACTAACCAAAAGTGTGAAACACATAGACAAAGTTCCTTCTCCTCCAGCCTGGGTGATGAGGGAAAGGATGTCCATCTGGGAATACGTTGTGGCTGTGGTTGCTTGTGCAGTTTTCCCAGCCACAGCTGTCAGTCCATTCAGTCCAGTTGTAGACATAGACTTGCTGATCCATGGAAGCTGGAGGATCTAAGGATAGAAGTAGGACATGTTCTGGTCAACTGAGAGGTGTGCAGAGAGTCAGAAACAGGAGGCAAGCACTGCAGGTTATAGCAGTGGCTGCATTTAAACAACAGGTGAAGTGGGGTATTTTTAGACTGACCTCAATTCTTTTTTCCTGAAGTTGTGCTTTGTTTGGTTTTTAGTGTAAACACAAAATAGTTCTGTCTTGGTGCTATTTTACTAAGAAGTTTAAAAAAAACTTTACTGTCTCATGGGCCAGACACAGTTTAGAAGTGCTTGCCCAAAAACCTGCTGTTGACAGGATGCTACTGTTGAGGGTAACGGAGCTACCTAAATACTTGGCAGGCAGAATCTAAAATTGTAAGTACAAAGAGTGGCTGTGAAAGGTCTGTGAGGAAGTGACTTTGTTTTGTCAGAAAAGTTTTCTATGGCACCTTGAAATAACTTAGACATGAATTTCTGTCATTTTCTGAATAGTAAATGGGAAGTTTCCTCCCCCAAACAGCACAGCAGATATTAAGTAGAATATGGATATAAGCTGCTAACGAAATATTAGATAGTTAACTGCAACCTAGGCTGACAAAAAACTTGCTGATATGAAATAAAAATTACTTTGATCAGTAAAATAATTTGTTGAACATTTATGCATTCAGAGAATGAAAGGTACTACAGCATGTGTTGCTCTAGATCCAGCAGCTTAAAACACTGGAATTATGATAGGCTTTTTTCTCCATGTAGTAGTTAATAAGATGAAAAAGGGTGATTTTCTGAGGAACATATTGCTTGATTTTTAGATATTTATTTATTAATTTTTTAATTCCTAAAATGTGGAAGTGTGAGATTTACTTTTCTTGTGTAGATATGGTAACTGAATTCTACAATTCATAATTGAAAAAAAACAAAACCTCAATTTTATAATTTGACAGCTTTATAATTTTAAAAGAAAACAGTGTAACTGTGCAACATAGTGCCTGAGCTAAAAAGAAGTAACAGTTCTGTTGGGAAGTCAGATTATGTGACTGCTTTGGGAAGGCAAGTTTATAACTATGGTCAGTCTCAAATTACCTGGTCAGTGTATCTGGAGTAGGGCAGAGCACAAAAAATGGCACAGCGATCTTCTTAGGAAAAAACTGGTGTGGCACAGGCTGGGCATGCACAGCTAAGTGTTATCAGTTATCAGTTATCAGTTAAATCGGCACGGCTGCTGTTCATTGGGTGTGCCTGTGGTGCTTTCAGAGCTCAGTGATGCACTCATAGCAGCACAAGCAGGTGTGAGCCTGGTGCAGGGAAATTGCCATTACCTACCCTGGGTACAGTTTCTCCTGTATACAATGTTGCCATCATTATCTTCTGTCTGGCACTTGGGAAACTGGAGAGTCACCACAAAGCTCACGTTGGATCCTACCAGTGCTGGGCTGTCACTGTCCAGTTTGGCTGTCACCCTTCCACCTGAAAAAAGAAAATTAGTCTTGCTGCAGTGAAAGATGCATTGCAGCAGAAGCTGCCATCAGCTTGCACCATTTACAGCAGAAATGCTTTCTTGGTTATGCTGTTTCTAAGGGCTTTCGTGCTCCTAAGTCACTTGTGCTCTTACCAAAACCCCAACTTCAAACAATCAGAGCGACTCAGCATATCCCCCCAGATCACTTACTCATCTGCCATTAATTTTCTTCCTAGAATTAAGAAGAAAATTTTCTGCCTGTGGGAGGTCAATGTATCTCAAAGGAGAAAATTTGTGTTTCTCCCCAGGGATAGTCACTGGCCCTCAGCTCCGACCAGGTGACATCAGACATGGTGTTTGCTGAAGCTGTCGGTCTGAAGCCCACGTGCCCTACTGAGGTAAGAGTTGAAGCTGCCTGTCCTCCAGAGCATGTTTCTCATCATGGATTGTGCTGGAGCCCTGACCATCAGTACTTCTTGGTAAGTATTAATGTCTGCCTGAGATTAGTCATAATGGGAAAGCATTTTATGAAATAACTCACTGTTCTGCTTCCTCAGACAATCCACTGGGGATGGTATCAAACCCAATCCTCTCTAACTCGCCATTCTGTGCAGCAGTGGATATTGCCCCTATGAAAATGCACTATAGCACCTGCACTCTGCACCGTGGTGGATTTTGTGGCCACTACAGTTTTTCAAGTGTCTTTGAAATGTGTATGTGCTATCACCTTTCCAGCAGTCCTTCCATCTGGGATCTCCTTCTTCCCAGAAAGGATAAAGTTTTTCATCCCATTTATTTTGATCACTAGACCAGCCTTGTAGCTTCTTGTAGGATGTCACAGGAGAAGTGCTTCCATGGTTCAACACATCTTGAAACCCTAGAGAGAAAATCAAACATCAGTGTTAATGTAATGCAATTTTCCCTACTACTCTATAAAAACATTACTCTTGTGCTGAACTTTAATCATGTACTGGTAGAAAACTTTCCACCAGTAGAAAATGATGGAATTTTATCATTGCAGCTATAAACACTTATCAACTATAATCAACACAAAGACAATTCCACCATTGTCAGACTGACATATTTTTCTACTTGCAGTATTGCAAACTTCCCAGACAAAGAATAAAAATGTTTACAATGTTTTGACCATATCAGAGCAATGGTTTGCAAGAGTTTACATAACCCTGCAACAGTCAGGCTCCCTGCACAGAGGTTGCTTGATTTCTGACTGCTTTGCCTGGTAATAAATCTACAAGTAAAAGGCTAATGGGATAAATTCATTCTGTGTCTGAGTTGTGCTCTAGTGGAAGTTGTGCCAGGAATTAGTTTTGACCCAGTGCAGCTCCTTTGGTGAGTTGGCTGGTGGTTTGGGTGGGAGGGGTGGAATCAATTATAACAGAAGCTGGTATTTCCAGAAAAGGAAATTCAGAGCTGAATAGTAAATTCAATGTGTTTATAATATAACAACAATAACATATTAGCTTCATGCCTTTTATTTAGAAATGGCTCCAATATTAAATAACTTCAATAACCTCTTTCTTCTCATATTACTACAAATGATGGGCTCAAACTTTTCCCAGGCTTCTAGGATCCCTCTTTCTGTCACAAAGGACACATAGTGGAAAGCAACGTAAATATCCAAGTAACCTGTAGGAACACGTTGGCCACTGTAGGATGCCATAAAAATATGTTAATAAGAGGGCTCATGGGCATAGTTCCATGGAAGCCTGGAGGCTTTAAAGAGCTCTGCCATGTTAATCAGGTAAGGTAACTGCTGGGTGTGCCATTCTGTCACTATAGTAAGGGAGTTAGAATTTGTGCTTTCCATGGCTTTATTGTAAAGGTACAGCTGATACAGATTTACACTTAGATTTATACCCAAGTGCAAAAAAGTTCTGGATGACTTCAAAGAAAATGCAGAGACCTGTAAGAAGGGCAAGAATTGCCCTGTATGCTGTAACCTAACTGGTTGTATTGGAATTTTTCCAAGCTTTGGAAAAGACACAGAGCAGGTGTAGCCAGTTCAAGCACGGTCTTTACAGGTGGGTGGCTCCTAATTTTACTGCAAGAGAGAATCAGAGAAACAGCTCAGAAGAAGAGCCAGGAGCTGCTTTCTCTTGGTGTTTTATTGCCCAGTGATATTTCTGCTGGGCAGGAAGAACATCCCTTGGCCAGTCCCGTCCCCACTCTGAGCTGATGCTGGTAGCTCTCTCCCCACTCTTGAGGACTGAAGGGTTTGAGGAAAATAACAGATTTTGCACTCAGAGACACAATCTCCCACAGACTTTTGCCCTCCAGGAACTCCCTGCAGTCTCACTTAAATCACTTGAATCAAGTCTTTCCTGCAGATTTAATATTTTTTGATGTGAGCAAGCATAACATTATGACTGGTATTTACTTAATGACCTGTATCACATGCTGTATTGTTTTGAGTCTTGGTCAGAAGGAGAGTTTGGTAATGTTGTTGTTCAGAAATTTTGCTCAGGAAAAAAACAAATTAGCAACTATAAAAGTACTTCACAAAGGCTTAGCAAGTTCAATTACAATTTGGGTATCATTAAATTAATGTATCATTCAAAAGTAAATGGCTAATAATTCTTGTAATTTATTTTTCCCATTCTCCTTGATTTTCTGTAAAAATTATTTCATGAATAAAAATGTTTTGATTTTGTCAGATCAAAACTTTTCAATCATTGTTTTTTTCCCAAATGTTCAATTTATCAAAAACAGCTGGAGCACTTATAATTTTATAAATGCTTTTAATTTTGTGTTTTCATTAACAATCCTTGAATTCAGAATTCATTTTCTAGTCCAGTAATAGCTGTTTTTACTGTTTCTAAATCACAAGCTGCTTAGGTATTTCTTTGCCTCTCTGATGTGCTTTGTTTATTTCAGTCAAATATAAAACATTTCACAAGCTTCAGGACAAGACAAAGATGGTTTTTCAGATGAGTAAAGACTTCTGCACTGGTTTCTCTAACACATGGAACTGAAGATTTTCAGTTGGTGAATTTAAAGGAACAAAAAGCTTTAATGTATTTCTTTTTTAACAATGAAAACCACTCAAGAACAGATGTTGGTCATAACCAAAATTAGAGCAATTCAGTTCAAAATAGACAGAGTAATGTTATGCTCCAAGGAACAGATTCCTGTAATAGTTTTGGTGAGGTGATCATAGGGGAAGAGATCTTATACTTTGATTACTTTCTTCTTTCTCATTCTGGCTTTCATTTTGGTGAAAAACATAGCAGAGACAAGTTCAGTATTTCCTGTGAAAGTGTATTAGCCATGAAAGAGAGAATGAGAGCCAATGTTAGGACAGCAGAAATAGAAAGATGACCCGGCTAAAGAGGATAAAATGTATTAGAAGTCAAAAGGTGATGGAATGGCACCAGACTGTAACATAAACTTTCTAAAGTTATGTATAAAAACATAATAAAGCAGGACAAAAAAGAATTTGAGGAGCAACTTGAAAAAACATAAAAACTACAAATTAATCTTTTTTTCACCAGATATAAAATAAATTGGAAAGTTTGCCAGGATGTATGGGGCCAAAAGATGATGCAGATGCAAAAAAAGCATTCAGGGAAGGTAAAGGAGTAGCACAAAAGTCAAATAGGTCAGCTGGTTTATATTTTCATTCACAAAGGAAGAACATAGGGAGTTTCTGTGACAGATTTTTTTAAATGACAGAGAACATCTCTCAAAATGAAGTGTTGGCACATAAAACCTAATTATAGAACAAATCAACAAAATGACAAAGTTGTCTAGATAGGATGGCCCAAGTATGGAAGTTATTCAAGAGTGAAATAAATGAGCTATTAACCATAGCATGTAACATCTTGCTTAACACTGCTTCAGTGACTGAGAAACAAAAATTGGCAAATGTGATGACAGTTTTTAAAAACACTTCCAGGGAAGATTTAGAGGATTAAAAAAACCCTTTGGGGCTCAAGTTGGAGAAGCTGGTAGGAACAGCAGTGAAGAACAGAGCAAGTAGGTACAGTGCATTAATATGATTTGCCATAAAAGGAGTGCATTGCTCACAAACATATTCTGAGTTTTGCAAGGGAGACAGAGAGCATGGGAACAAGGCTGACCTGCTTGTTACAGTCTGCCTGAGCTCCAGACAGCACTTGATGAGGTCCCTTGCTAAAGGAACATAAAGCAATTAAGTTACCGTGGGATAAGAATGAAGGATTGATTTCACATGAGTAAATGATTGGTTAGGATATTAAAAAAAAAAAAGTTATGAATAAGTGCCCAGTTTTCTCCATTGTAAAAATAATTTAAATGTTCATAATCTGGAAAACAGGTAACAGCAAAGTTCTTTAATCTGCTGAGAACTGTGCATTAAAGTAATAGAGGGAAGGACTGTATGAAATTAGATGACTCAAGAATAAAACTGTATGAAATTCAACAGCATTAAATGTAACCTTACATTGAGAATAAGGGGCTCTAAACTAGCTCTTAACTCAGAAATGGGATCTTTCAGCTTTGCAGTTTTGAATGCAGTACTCATTGGTAGTTGAAAACCTGGGAAAAGGCTAGATAGAGAACAAAGATGGGAACATCATTACAGCATTTTATAATGCCATGTCTTGAGTACTGTATGCTCTGTTCTCTGCAGCTCAATCACTATAAAAGAACTGAAAAAATACAGGGAGAGGTGGTGAGGACGCTACAAAGGGATAGAATTGTTTCCATATGAGGAACAGCTGTATAGACTGTGTCTTGAAGCCTGGGGAAGAGGTGACAGGGGAGAATATAAAAACAGAACCATGAACAGCATGGAGAAAGAAGCTGAAGGAACAAAAGTTAAGGGGAATCAAATGAAACCAGCAGGTTACAGGTTCTAAGAACATGAAAGGTACTACTTCACATAAGGTACAATTAAGGTGTGAAGTTTTTTGCTGGCAGGACGTAGTTTGTCCCAAAAATTTACACGTGTTGCAATGAAAACCCAAAATGCATGAACAGATGGAAAAAGTCTAGTAAAAACTGTTAAATACAATGACTCTGCATCTGACAGAGGCAATTCTATAAATGCTATAAATCATCAAAAACTGGGAAAGTGTCCTGACCTGCACATTATACATCCAGTACTATTCTCCATTGGAGGCAGGTACAAGGCTAGATGAATGCTCAGATGGACTTCAGCTTTTAAGGTTTTCAATTTCCATACTGTACATTCTGGAATTTGAGCTTAAAATCCCATTTCTACATTCCCAGCCCTGAGAATCAGTCATCCTAAGACTCGAGTCAAACTGGGAGCCCGGAAAGAAGCGGATCAGCCCACTCCCTGCCCACTGTGGCTTGCAGATCTAATTCCTTGGCTGGGCTCCTTGAGGTTTGTGATCCACAGGTCCAAGTGCCCCAGTGGGGAGCATAGTTCCTAACCTGGCCTCTCCCAGGCACAGCTGAGCCAAGCCAACTGTGCAAAGTCCATTCTGCATCTGCCGTTTTAGCCATGCTCGAACTGGGGAAGCATCGCTAAGAACTTGCTGCCAAGAGCCGAGCTTTAGCTCCAGCCAGCTCCATGTACCTGTGGAGCACAGGGAACAGATTACCGAGCAGTTCTCAGCACCCTTCTCCAGCTCAGGCAGCTCTCGTATCCCGAGCCAGGCCACCCTGCAGTGGGACCGGCTGTCGCCTCCTGGGCGCCGGGCAGGGCTCCAGCAGCCACCCAGCGCAGGTGCCGGGAGCAGCCGCTTTTCCTGGGCTGGCTGGGCACATGGAGCACTCCGGGCCAGGCATGCGGGGCAGGGGAAGCACTCACGTGTGGCGGCAGCGCAGAGCAGCCCCTGGGCCAGCAGCAGCAGCAGCAGCAGCGTTCCGAGGGGGCGAGCAGCGCCCATGGCTCCAGAGCCGGGGCCGGGTCCTGCCGGGAGCTGCGCACCGAGACTGTCCGGGCCCAGCGGGAGGTGAGAGTGAAGCTGCCCCGCCGCTCCGCTCTCCGGTTAAATGAAGGGCCCCGGGACTCATCATGTGATGGAATTAAGCAGGGATGCATGATTTTGTCTTCAGCTTCTTTCGGCTCATGTGCTTATGACTCACTCCGTTTGCTTTCAGCGTTCCCTGGGATTACTGAGAGACCTGTTTGGAGCCACACCATTCACCTCAGAGGCATTTTTATACTAGTTTTGCGCTGTGATCAATTTTTGTACTTAATTTGTTTTTAAATTAGGAATCCAAATTAACTCTTGCCCCAGCCTGACTTGCAAGTGTTACTGCCACAGCTCACTGCATTTGATGAACCCATCGCTCCTTAACCACATGGCTCATCTCCTATGCTGGGCAACAACTCTAAACTGAGTGGAAAATGGCCAATTCCAACACATCTCTTGACTGGGCTCCTGAGCAGAGTTGATTGTTAAGGAAAATATTATTTAAACATTTAGTGGGTACATGCCCATTCAATGGCTAGAGGTGCCATCACAGCCCCTGTGTGCTGATGGCCACAATATCTGGATCCCAAGGTGCCGTGACCCTCACACAGACAACTGATTGTATAAACTTCTGCATTGTAGCAATAAACAAAAAAATAGACTTTGCTGCCAGCCTAACAATGAGGTATAACCAGTGGCTCAAGAGGGGCAGTGTAGATTGGCAAACACTGCACCTGGTGGTTCAAATTCGGGTTCAATGGGCCTGCCCAGCCCAGGTGTTCTTCTACAGGCAGTGCAGCAGCTGATTTTCACTGAAGGCCTGGCAGCCTTGTGAAGTTTCTTGCTGTTGTTTGCACAAAGAACGAGCTTTGGTAAGATGGCAAGGCATTAGAGCCAAGTATGGTCCTCAAGAGAGAATTGAGTAGCAGTTTCAGTGGTCCCAAAGAACAGCACTTGTAAGTGTGACACCAGCTGGCCAGAAACCAGTGAGCAGGGCAGCAGTAAACCATTTTTATTTTGGGCAGGGCAGGTGGAAGTCCATCATTCCAAGGCACTGTCAACAGAATGAAGACATTGCCCAATGGAAAGGGATTTTAGAACTCTGACTACTTTTTTTTTGTCATTTCTTCTATTTTTCTGGTGTCTTCTGTTAACTGTGTAAGTTATTACCACTACCCAGAGCACCCTAGCCAGCATTTCTCTCAGTAGTGCAGGCTCTGATGTCCAGTCCTGTGGATGTTGCATATTTAGAATCCATGCTTCAGCATCCTCCTGGCTGGAGCTAACCCTCCCTGCTGCTGCCATCCAAGGAGAAGGGTGACAGCAACAGCCTTAGGGCTACAGGCTTGTTTAAACTGAGCCCTCATTATCTGACAGAAACAAGGGGGAGCATAAATCCAAGTCAAAGCTGTGACTGACTGTGCAAAAAAAATCATATGACTGCAGCGTCCTCATGTGATTATTGCTTTTTTTTGTTGTTATTCAATCAGCTCCATTCCCAGTTGAAATGTCAGGTTTCGAAGGCATTCACAATTATTTTTTAAACCATGTGGGACATTAACTTTATTTGCACTCCTTTGTTTCCAGGTTGTTGATCCTAGAAGTGAAAAGTGACCTTCAAACACTGTGGTTCAGCACTGGGAGCCTGATCCAAAGTCTGCCGGGGAGAAAGGAAGTTTGAATGCTCATTCCCAAGAGGGTTTTGAGAACCTCCAGAGGAAAACTGCTGACAACAAATGCCTGTTAATTAAAACCAAAAATTTATCAGCCTAAAAACAATAAAGTTGGTTACGATGGAGTTTTTTGCCATGTTATTTGATACATGAAATTGTTACATAAATTTTGAGTGACAGTCTGAATAAGAACCAGCTGGTAGAAATTATTAAACATGTTGTAAATAGACTTCAGAGGCACTGAGGATCAGGCCTGTGGTTAGAGGAATCCAAACCCACCAGGGCTGGGGTAATAACTAAAAGGTGGCTTTACTGTGACATTCCAGTCCTTCACATTCTTCCTCCTCTGCTCTTGGGCCTTAGATTACACATTCCTGCAAGGCTGACACAGAAAATATTTGGGTCCATTTCTGGTGTGGTTGCAGCCAACATTCACAAGGGGAGAGGAGAAGGGAAGAAAGAGCTAGGGGGAACAGAAGTGTAAAGGAAGTGAAAAGAATAAAAAGCTAAGAAAAATGGGATAAGTCAAGACTGAAGGGACCATCTGAAAACTGAGCTGACTTCTCTGAGTGTTCTAGCCATAGCTGACTGTGTCTGAAAATGAGTGTCTGGAACACTGAAGGATTGCTTGAAACCTGTGGATCATCATCAGATCTTAAATTACCTTTATAATTTCTACATTATTATTCTTGGTCTCTGAGAAACAGCTTTGCAATTTAAACAAGTGAATTGAATCAGGCAGCTATAAAGAAGAAAAGGTTTGAAATATATCCTAAGCATTCTCCCAGCAAAGAAACACACATTCAGGGAGATTTAGGGCTTCATCTGACAAAGAAGTGCGTGGGCAGGAAGTGCTTGGTACTTCACAGCTTTAGCAGCTCAGTTATTAAATCTCATTGAGGAGATACACATCTCTGCTACCTGAAGGCTGTCAGATGACAGGGTGTGAACACATCATGTGTACCTGCATGTCTAGACTGACAGAGCTGGCATGCTCACCCTGCTATCACACCGCCATCAACGCAGCACCAACACAGGAACTGTTTATTGCTGCTCACAGGAACTTTAACAAAAAATAAAAGAAAAAAAAAAGAAGTGCAAAGAAAAAAAAAAAGAAAGGAAAGGAAAAAAAAAAGGGTTTTGAAGTATGAACTTGGCTTTTGGCCAAGAAAGTAAAGGAAAACAGGGCAATCTTGGTTTGGCAGCCTGGTACATTTAGGTAAATGTTGTCTGCCATTACCAGTGATCTCTCAAGGGAACTCTGCTTAGGGCTTGACAAATTCTTTTCCTGGGAAGAAATGATCTGTGCCTTGCTTCACACGGGACAGTGGGCATCAGCTGATTGAACCAAACATGTAAACAAAGCTGCCTTAGCAGGCTGCAGTTCTTCTTGTACCAGGAAGGGGAAAAAAAAAGCTCCTGATCAGTTTCTAGTATCAACTATCTCAGTTTATCACTGAAAAATTATTTAACCCTTGCAACTGATCAAATGGCCTTTTAGTAATTCCAGCAGCTTTATTTTTTGTCTTTGTAGTAGCTGAGCTGTGCATTTTGCCATTCTTTTATGGGAAGGTGTTTCCTGCAGTCATACATTTCTCAAATTCCTGTGTTGGGGTTGGTTGTGGAATCACAGAGTGGTTTAGGTTGGAGAAGACCTTTAAGATCATTGAGTCCAAGTGTTAACCCAGCACTGCCACTAAACCACTCCCTAAGAGACACATCTACACATCTATTAAACACCTCCAGGGATGGGACTCCATCCCTTCCTGGGCAGCCTGTTCCAATGCTTGACAACCCATTCTGTGGAGAAATTTTTCCTAATATCCAATCTAAAATTGTTTCCAATTTTAAAGACTTTTTAAAAGACAATTTTCCAAACTTGGCATTTGACTATAGCATGAGATAAGGCCCAGGCGTGACCTTATCTCTCTCTACAACCACTTGAGAGGAGGTTGTAGCAGGGGCTCTTCAGTCTCTTCTTCCAGGTGACAGCCAACAGGATAATGAGAAATGGCCTCAAGTTGCACCATGAAAGATGTAGCACTTTTTTTGTGATACAAATAATTTTTGGCCAGGTTTGCTCTTGAGGAAGGCTCGAATGAGCCTGCCACTCTCTGCTTTTTTTGGTCCCTCCCTACAAACGCTAAACTCCCCGCTCAGTCATAGCCATGTGTGTGACAGTGGCCCAAAATGCCTCATGAAAGCAGCTTGTGGGGAAGGAAGGGGAGCCCAAAAAATCAACTGCAGCACTTGCAAATCCTCACAAGAGCTCAGCTTCGAGACACAGACCCACAGAGTGCCCTGGCCCATTCATCCTCACAGGTGGACTTGTCTTCCCTGCCCATGGCAGGGCTGCAGGTGACCAGCAGATGAAGACAAAGCACAGTAACAGATACTGACCATACTTGCAGCACACACCTTTTTTAAAGGTATGTAAAGGAAGTAAGTTTATTTATTACCTCTGGATAGGTTTGTTGTGGGGCTTTTTTTCCCTATGATGACAGTGCAAGGTGGAGGTGCAGCTATCCTGGCAGTGCCAGGGCTCTGCTGTGCTAGCCCATGGTCTTCCAAAGTCCCTGTAAGCTTCTGGCCTGTTGTATGGGCACTTCAGCTGACCCACTTCCAGTTTTGCAGCTGCCAGAGTTAATTTACAATCTGGACATTGGTTTTACTCTGCTACTTTTCTCATATTGATTTAATGAATTGTTAATGATGTATTTTATAGTCACCATGGTTCATGGAGGCACAGACCTCTTCCAATCAGGAGAGTGGATAATTGCAGTGAAAGCACATGATCATGGCTGCACAAGACCCATATTTTTTCAGCATATTTTAATGAAATTGTTTCAGGCTTCCCTGTTGCTCAGAGGGGTGTTAAAAGATTGATTTTGTATCATTCAGCTCAAAAGAGCAAATTTTTGCTGAAAAGTTCTGTTTTCTCTAAAAACATTAATTGATACTTTGGCTAGGAAGAAGATAAAAATTTCTTAAAAAAAAAAGTTATCCAGAAACAATCAAACCAGCAAACCCCAGCCAAAAAAGTGACTTATCAAAGAGAATATACTTAACAAGAATATCCACTCTGTAGACTCCTTGGTGGGAGGACACTGAAGGAGAAGTAGTCTCACAGCAAAAGCTCCTTTAAAGCTTTTCTAAGAAATAAAGTAAACTGAACATACTCAGTTGCACCTTGCTCCCTGTATATGCTGTTTCATTTATTATGGGTGAGGGATAAGAGTTCACCACAGAAGCTCAGTTGTTTTATGGTCCAGTGAAATTGCCTGGACTGCTTAAGAA